TTTAACTTGAATGGACTGAAATATATGTTAATAAAAAAGAAGTCTTTTTATTCTTATTTTTATTAAGCACACTATTGCATTGAAAATATTAAAGATAAATTACAAGTGCTTCGTGTGGACAAATACCAATGGCTAATGAAGAAATTAATTATTAGTATAAAAGCACTCTAATAAACTAGTACCTATATGCTGTCTTTGCAAATTGTTACCTTTAAAAGACGTGACAGTTTTGATGGTCATGCATTGCCCAACAAGTCCTCTATATTTTCTCTGTTTTTAAACAGTTGTTTGTATATACTACATGCATTATTTATAGAACTAATGGAATTCTTTTACAGGAGTCAGATCTTTCAAAAAGTAATGATAGGTCTTTTTTAAGTCAGTGACCAGAACGTTTTCCAGCTTTTCAGTTGCCTTGCAGAAATGAGAATGCTGTCTATGAAGTACAAAAAACAGGTTCTGGCAGTGTTTAGAGTTTTTTTTCACATGATCGTATCAGTACTAGGCAGAAGATTATTTAGAAATTGAACATGGTAGCGTAGATTTGTATGTGTACATGCTCACGGTACCTAGTCTGGCAAACTTCATAGTCTGAAAGGGGCTCTGAACTCTCACAGAAATTTATTGAAGCCACTTGGTATCTGTGCAAGGACACAGCTTGCATGTAGACGCGGCCACAAAGCACTAGAATGGACTATGTCCCTTATACCTTTGTGTTTCTGCTTTCACTTGGACTCTGAACAGGTGTGGACATTTGTGCACACTGCAAGGTCACGAAGAATAAAAATGTCATGCAGCTTTATGGAAACAGTTTAAAACTGCTGATATGATGGCATTATAAATACCTCTTTGTTACATTTTCCTGTTTAATGCCTTGTGTACGATCAGATGTACTTTGCTAAATCACTGCTTGACAGTAAGGAGAATGGAAAAGAGGAGATAATGTAGTGTATTATTGTATTCTGACATATATTTCTAAGCTTTGAAGTCATCAGTGCAGTGTTTTAAAATACGGATGATATTCTCTTATATCCAGCGTAATTCTGCTTTGGGCATATTTTAAATGAGAGATCTGTCTTACTGGGCTCTTTAATTACAGAAAATCACTGTTTCACAATTTTCCAAGTGCTCTGTCTCACTTAACATATTAAGCAAAAGTAATAAGCTCAAAGAATGGGAAGAAGGTTACATTATGATATCTACCCTGATCAAAGAAATTAATTGCTTGAATGAGTCTTCTTCCAAAAGTTGAGATATTTCTTAGATGGACTTATTCTCCTATAGCACTGAAACAAGATATATGTCGGAGAGAATTTCTTCCGTAATTACATATGAAAAGTTTCAAAAGATATAAAAGTGCTGATACTAGATTTACATAGCCTTAAAAAATATTCCTTGTCTTTATGCAAATAAACATACAGATACACTAAAGGTTGAATGCAGCAGAAATAACTACAGAATACAGAAATAATTACAGAAGTATCAAACAAGAAGCAGAACAGCATTTATGTGAGAAAAATTCTTGATTTTACATAAATCTGTTAAAAATACATGACATTTGAGTAATAAAATATTGTAAAATATACAAAATTAAATAGTAGAAAATAAAACATATTTTGAAATACATATAGTATGCATTCATTACCATAGTAAGTCAAGGAATTTTAATTCAGTGAAATTCTTATCTTTTATTATGGGGGAAGATAAAGCATAATAATAATAAATAATCTAAGCATAGATTATTTTACAAAACAAAACATGCACTCAAAATAAGATGCATGGAACGTGTAAGTTAGCAGCAGCATTAAATGTGGGCCAAAGAACTGTCAGGGTTTCCAAATGATTCTTTCATAGAACTACTTCTGATTCCTTAGTTTCTAATACATTTAAAAATAAGCTACATAACTTATTTTTATAGTGCCAGGAACTTTTCAAATAGAACCCATGCAAAAGCATTACTGAACTGCTGGAAATTTTAAATAATTCTTTGTAAATGCCCTAGGTGAATTTAGATCTCTGAAAACACATTAGGAAATTAAGCTGTAATGTGAGCTAATTCAAATTTTAATTTGGCAAAAAGAACGATCCAGCCACATAGTTAATGTAAATAGGAGCATAACACAGAGAAATTAATGAGGTTTCCTTTCATTGAATCTTAAAGGAGGCAGATAATTAGCTTCTTTTGTTATTATTGCTAGAGAATGTGGTATTGTCTTCGAGGTGTAAAGTAACTGCTGCTTGCAAAATGATGTGTTCTTTTGTCTTTTCCTAATACTTATTTACATTAAACTCTTGTAGGATGAAGCAGCCCAGCCACTGAATCTTTCAGCCCGACCCAAAACAGCTGAACCTGTCAAATCCCCAACATCTCCAACACAGAACCTCTTCCCAGCTAGTAAAAGCAGTCCAGTGACAGTGACGAACAAGAGTGGCATCCCCAGCCCGCTCGGTGGATCTCTGGGAAGAGGATCCTCTTTAGGTAACTAATCTGTCCTGGGAAGGAGAAAACTGGCAAGATTTCTACATGAAATCTCAGCTTGAGCACCCTTACTTCTGAATTAAGTAGATATTTGGGCCTACATTTCTGTTTAAAATGGAAAAAAAAAATTGCAGGAAAGATTTTCAAAGAACTTTTGAATGCCAAGGTTTTATAAGAGTAACCAAAATGATGCAGCAGTGATATACATCTACAAGAAATACAGCAAATAAATATATAATGTAAGAAATATACATACATACAAATATATACACGTAAGTAAATAGAGATGCATATATAAAACATGTAAAAGGGGTTTGTATTAATATCTTCCCCAAAGACATCAATTGGGTGTATACATCCAAAGTTAACTTTTGAATTTTCACCTCTGGATTAAACAAACAAAAATACATCTTTGCATGCACGCAGAACCTGACTAGACATACACACATAATGGCTCATGTGATTAGTGGTACATGCAATGCAACAGTGTAACATACCTTAAAATAAACAAGTTTTCAAGCACTTTGTTGAACCGGGATCAGGGAACATTCAGTATCTCCATGGTTTACAGTAAACCAGAAGCCAGGCAAGAAGGTAACTCCAAATGTGGTTTTCGGCTATTTAGCCCAAATATACCGTTAGTTTTACCCAGAACAGCATTCTAAAAGAAATCTAATCCTCTGCGTTCTGGGTACTAAGTTCAACTTACAAAGACCATATGCTGAATATATTCTTTTTTTTTTTTTAACAAAGAAAGGCTTCAGTCCAGCCGGTTTATTATTTGTTCATGTTTTTATTATTTGTTCACCCATCTGTCAAGATTTTGTTAATTCATATGGTTGCAAATAGGGAATTTTTGACCTGTGTTCAAGATTCTTTAATTAAGAAATAAAACTTATTAAGTAATGAAACAAAATTTATCAGAAAACTATGTATGAAGACTACCTTAACCAGTCAAGAAACAGAATTAAGAGCTGGAAAATGTAGATGATCAGCCCTAAAGTTCAAATAGTAAATTTTAACAGTGACTAAATACTTACTACAGACCACTTATTCACAATCTGTAGCTCAAGTGTACTTGTAAAATATATAGAAACACTTGTGAATAATGAACAGATATGTTAAATACATACATTAAATATATAAAAATTATGATTTGTTCCATTCCCAAAACACTTGGGACCATCATGATCTCTGAAAGATACTTTCTGCAGCTAGCAGAAAGCACATTCTACCTGTCAATTTATTTCCAGCTATCACTGCACTATCTAACATTAGAAAGTGGCGTATCAGTTTGAAGTCATAGACCATTCCAGAGAAAAGGCTAGGGAAGATATGCCTGAGGTGTGAATATTTTTCATATAAAGTCATAAAAACTTTTCCTCTCAATCCTTAAGTATAAAAGAAGCCAGGGAAACATTGTCAAAAATCAGCAAGCAACATATGAGCTTTTGCTCCATTTTTATGATAAATTTAGGTGACTGGGAGTCTAAGTCTCATTAAAAGTCATGCAAATATGGTTCCCAACTTACTTAGGCTCCAGAATGGAACTTAATTTCTGAATCAGTTCAGAGCATTGGAAATTTTACCAAGCCAGAACAATGGTTACTTGTTACTTATATTTTGGAGATTACTTATAAGTAATTTGTTACTTATATTTTGGAGAGGGGTTCTTCATTCAGACAGAAAACATCACAGTTCGTCTAAAACATCACAGTTTGCATCTCTTTCATATAGACCACAGTATTAAATAACTGTTTGGTTCCCAGGATAAAGCACGAGAAACTCTTAATCTTAACCTTTTTTATTTTAAAAGAATTCAGGGTCCTTTGAGGTTGAATTTGCTATATTTTACTCAGCTGAACTTCAATGAAGTCAAAAGAATGTGAAAATTATCTTTGAAGGAAAATTCCAAGTCTTAGCCTGTTTGGGTTGGTTTGTTTTTTTTCTAGTGGACTGTTAGTAAGTACAGGTCTAACAAATTCAGAGCTTTTATAAAAGACATTTGCTTCTCAGGCAGATGTACGGGTCATGCACAAACTTTGGTTGCTCAAAATTTCCTAGCTAGAATGATATCTATCCATGTGCAGTACAGAGGATACTCCCATGCAGGAACAGGTGGATAAAGTTAAAGCTTCATCACAGCAACACGTAACAACCAGTCGCCAAATAATTGCTGTCTTTTGGTGTCAAATCAGAAACTGTATCTGGGGTACTCATCTTTACCTCTAGCATGCATTTTAAGATGTGACAGGAATGTTTTGTGTGAGTTTGATGCATGTTTAAAAGTTTCTCTTTCTGTCCAGAGTGATAGAAAGAAAGCCATTTTTTCATTACTGATTTAGAGCTTTATACTCATGTTAAGGTGATTACAAGCTCTGTCCCCCAAAGGTAACTGTGGGTGCTCTTTCTGAAATTGAAAACTAAATGTCTGGAGTGATGGTTCTCTTGATAAAGAAATTCAAAAAATTGACATAGACTTTCATGGCCAATTAAACAAGATTTCTTTCTCCTTCTTTGTCATTTTATTCATTATTATTAATACTTCAAAGGCTTCCCAGTTAAGCTTCAGAATACTGTTGTCTTAAACGCATATTTAAATTTGAACTTTGAGTCCATGAGTATGCACAGATACCTCCATATCAGGCTATGCCAAGACTTCAGTGGTTGTATTTATAACAGCAAAAGAAGTGCACAGGCTTATCAATCACTTCTATAGATTAATTCAGCCTTCAAACAGGCAACAATTGCCACTCCTCCTCCTTGTGCAGACTTTAGTTGGGTGCAGCTCTACCAGTATGAGTGCTGAGTGCTTACCCCGGATTCTAATTTGGATAATTATCTACATGAAGTGTGTTCTCTGTTTATAGATATCCTTTCCAGTCTTAATTCACCTGCCCTATTTGGGGACCAGGACACAGTAATGAAAGCCATTCAAGAGGCTCGAAAAATGAGAGAGCAGATCCAAAGGGAGCAGCAGCAGCAACAGCAGCCGCATGGTGTTGATGGAAAATTGCCCTCCATGAATAACATGGGTCTAAACAACTGCAGAAATGAAAAGGTAATATCTCCCATTGCCACACAGTCTGTCATTCATTCTTCTTTTCCCGGCAAATAGCTTCTTATTTTTATATAAAATTTCTTTTTAGAGCTTTTAGCCATCTCTGATTTCACGTTAAATACACCTTGTCACTTCACAATGCTGTGCTGCAAACTTCTCTACGTTTACATGACAGCATTCAAAAAAACAGTTCTGTGCACTCATGTGATTAAGCTGTAAGCATGCATATAACAACGTGGAAAATGAATTGGTTTCAGCTACCATTGTTTGTGGTCACTAGATTTTGAATTGTGCTTTTGAGAATGACTGGATTGATAAATATGGCAAAACGGCCAGTTAATGTACTAGCACGGTAGAGTATTACAATGCTATTGAATGTATCTGAGTGTGCTTGAATCTGTGACTCAGATGCAACAAAGTATATAGGCTCAAAACAGTGCTTTTGACTCTTAGTTTCAATGGGAAATTAGAGATCAAAGTTCTTTGTTGAATCTTGGACGTAGTTTCCCAACACTAAAATGAAATGGGGCACTACAATAAAACGGTAAATGAGAGAAAGTGGTGAGAGAATGTGACCAGTATTGGACTGAGCAGGACATCATTCAGTTTACAAAATAGCAAGCTGGGATCATATCTGAAAGGTGAGGAACAGTTTCTATCACACACACTTTAAGGACCGCTCAGAGGACAAAGAAGTCTCTTGGAAAATTCTTTGTATTTGTGTTGTCCTGCTCTGTGGCCTTTCCAAGGTCTACAAGATCCGCTCCAGGAGCAGGTCTCTGTGTGTATAACAGAGCCAGTGAACACTGAATCAGGTAATTGGCTGAGCTATGAGGCAGCCCTTTTGATGAAGAATGCTTCTCTGTTAGCTTCCCTAGAGGTGGCTTATGCTGCAAAAAATACAGCACACAAGTTATTTTTCACCACTGACACAAGGTCAGTTATATACCACAATACTTATTGCAGTTAACTAGAAAGTAAAAAATATTATTCCAGTAATCACTATGGCAATCCCAAATAGGAACAGTTATGATGCAATTTAGTAATGAATGAAAAGAAAACTGACACATTCATTAGCCTATAAAGCAACTAATGTTTCAGACTATTTGCAGAAAAAAAAAAAATTGAAAAACAGGTAGCTTTCAATGCCTATAACTCATTAATGAAAATTCTGTGATATATCTGTGTATTAAAGGGTAGGGGGTTTGTATTTTGGGGGAGTAGGGGAAGATTATATTATACTGCAAAGACTGACAGGAATTTTTAGTCCAGGTTGAGTATAAGACTCAGCAGAGTATTAACTATATCTTAAACCGTGAATTTGATGATACTATGATCTTTTCTGAACCCACAAGGGAATACTCAGTGAGTAAGTGGATTGTAGCAAGGCACAGAAAGGCAAAGAAATGTTGTAAACAAACCCATCAAAGATTGATACATACCTTTTAATCTACATTTTATATTTTTGCTTGATAGGTTCTTTACAGTACTCAAAACAAGAGAAAGGCTCAATGTCTATTAAAAAGATTTGTTAAACTGTTACCACACAGGATTAACAATGCTTTTACAAGTCAAATTCAGAGGTTAATAAATCTTTATTTCTGCTAGTGTTAGTTTAAATGTCAGCATTGAAAAACTAATTTAATACAGATTGATACGATGGAATAATATAGAAATTAATAACTGATCAAGCAGCCTATATTCAGACAACACTCTAATTGTGAAGTCAGTGTTTGTCTTAACTAAGAGGTAGGGTACTAAAGACCAAATTATAAAAATAAATGTCACACCTATGATCAGTATTAAGAGTTTATACAATTATGCTTATTTTAAAATATATTTTATGAGTTTCAGTGGCTTGACATTTAAAAATATCTAATACACTAGAAGGGCTATTAAAAGAATTCTTAACGTTTGATTTGACTTTGAAAAGTAAGTATAAAAATGGCATCCACTTACTTATCAGGTCTGCTCCCTGAGTACTTTCAGTACCATGTTTATGTCTTGTATTCGGTACAACAGGTTTCTATTTCGTCTTTCACCTTTTAAAGCAGACTTAATAAATATTTCAGTGAGTAATATGAAATTTCTTTTTTGTGCTGGTTACTATCAATACACAGATTGATGAACAGCTTCCAGATTGAGGCTATACATCAGGCAGTCAGAGGAAAAAAAATTTTTTTTTACTTGCAAATATAGCAGAGTCAATTGGAACTCTTTAACAAATATAAACAACATCGTTCTCAAATGCCATCTTCTGTGGGGAGACTTTTCATGGTAGCACTTGCAACTTTTAAAACCTAAGAATAAAACAGCAGCAAGGAAATCTGTTGTTAAATCTCTCAGTGCCCTTATATAATCCTGCTGGGTTTATTTGTTGTAGCATGTACTATAGAGTGAACCATTAAGGCAGGAAAAAGTTGTAATATGTACTCTGGTTTTACCTTTGGTATGCTAGTCTGTTATCCTTGCTCTGTAGATGCAAGAAAAGGCAGGGTTTACAAAAGAATAAGATATAAATCAGTCATTTTAAATGATGATATATCCCCACTCTCTATCCTAAAGAAAATAAAAGAATTGTCAGTCATGAATACTAAGGGAATGTATTTATATTTTATAGCAAGTATAAAATACATTAAAACCAGAAGCATCCTTTGCACAAACAGAATTCTATAATACTTTTCTTTACCCCTTTACCTTCTGCCTTTCAATTTTTACATTATGATATATTTCTTTTACTCTAAAAACGATGGGCAGGGGTGATCAAAATGGGGGGGAATGATAGATCACTTCAATTAGAAAAAACATAATTTTGAAATAATAGTATGCCAAGAAGATTGTGTATCGTTTCTGTCATAATCCCAGTGAAGCTGTGATAACGTAGTTGCAATTTTGGATTGGTTTCTTTTGAAGAATCAGGACCCAATGTTTTCAGGACCGAATTTTCAGAAATTGGCTTCAGGTAATTAGACTTATAAATGAGTAGCTAGAAGCCGGCACCAGAAAAAGATGACAAATTAATTGCCTGCAGCTTGTTTAAAAAAGCTATTGAGTTCTGGTCAGTTACTGGTCTTCAAGTTCAGATAGCTGGTAATAGTTTGTTGTGCAAATGATTACGCTTACGAAATTATGTACATAGCTTCAAAGCCTGGGCTTAGGCCTTTTTGAAAATGTGTCATTTAAATCTCAGAAAGCTTTGTATTTGGTTAGAGACACAGAATTGAAAATTGCCTCTGTTCATACTCCTACAAAGCTTTAAAAGTGCTCACAGAGATTCACTCATCAGAAAGACCAAAACAAAAACGTGCAGCACTCTGGCACAGTCAAACTTCATCATTTGCTAAAGCATTAAGGCTATACTTTTGAGATGATACCATTCTATGGACATCCACAATTACAGAGTTATTTCAGTTTATGTACCGTTGTGGGTTAGGGTAGGCAGGTAAGCACCACGCAGCCACTCGCTCACTCCCCTCCAGTGGGATGGGGGAAAGAATCAGAAGAGTAAAAGTGAGAAAACCCATGGGTTGAGATAGTTTAATAAGTAAAGCAAAAGCTGCGCGCACAAGCAAAGCAAAACAAGGAATTCATTCACTACTTCCCGTCGGCAGGCAGGTGTTCAGCCATCTCCAGGAAAGCAGGGCTCCCTCACGTGTAACGGTTACTTGGGAAGACAAATGCCAAAACTCCGAACATTTCCCCTTCTTCCCCCAGATTTTATTGCTGAGCATTACGTCATATGGTATGGAATATCCCTTTGGTCAGTTTGGGTCAGCTGGCCTGGGTGTGCCCCCTCTTGTGCACCCCCAGCCTACTTGCTGGTGGGCCTGCATAAGAAACAGAAAAGGCCTTGGTGCTGTAGAAGCACTGTTCAGCAATAGCTAAAACATCCCTGTGTTATCAGCACTGTATTGGTCACCAATGCAAAACACGGCACCGCGCGAACTAAAATTAACTCTCTCTGAGCCAAAACCAGTACAGTGCACACAAGGCAAAAAGTCATTATAGCAGAGTTGACTTTTTCTACTCCACCTGGTGCTGATCAGGTGTAGTCTGACTGAGGAAAGGGAAGAAGTAACCGTATCAGTGGTTTCACAGAGTAAACAGAAACACTGGGGAAGGGGGGAGAATTAGGAAAATCCAGAAAATAGGCTACAGAGCTCTTTCCATGTGATACAAGCCAAAGTAAAATCATACAAAAACTGGCTTTGTTTAGAGATTATAACATTTTTCCAGTCAAGCCACGTTTACATTCAACAGAAAAGAGTACTTAAAAAAAATTTGCATTGCTAGAGCTACTTGTATTTATTTTAGTATTTCGAACTAGCATGATTGCCTAGAAGATTTTCTTTGATTTAAGGCTTTAAATGAACCTGAAAATGCTATATAATTTATAAGATAACTGACATTATTTTTAAAAGGACCAGTTCCTACCTTTTTTGTGCATAAAGCATGAAACCACTGACAAAAACACTTCAAAAAATCTTTGTAGAAAAAATATCGGCAGAAATGTGTTAATATCATTGGAGAAAAATATATGAAGTCAAGATAGAACATATACCAAATTAATAATCACAACATATCTGCTAGACCCAAGGATATACCCCCACCTCTCCATTTACTTACCCACGAAGCATATTCATTGAGATCAGAGAGGAAGCAGGATTTGATATAACATTTTTATGTTTATATTCCATTCTTGCTCTAATGTAGATTTTCAGGCAACTGTGTATTTGCAGTAGGAAGCCAGAATTAGACCCCAAAATACATGACATGAGTCATTGCCTACTTCCTGCGAATTATGGTACTTTAGCACCTCTTATAATGAGCCTTTTATTCCTTTCTTATTTCTAAATCAAAATTTTACAAGTTGAATCCACATCATTTATCCTAATATAGACCACAGTTTGTATGCAAAATGTGTACATTCTTAAAAACGTATATTATTTACCCTAGGAGATGTTACAGTCTATTGATCAAATCCATATTTAGGCACTTGG